ACAGCATCACCTCGCAGCTCCGGCCTCGGACCCCATTGGCAGTTGCAAAGCTGAAGCGTGAGATCCGCTTGTCTTCAGAAGGCTTTACTGCTTGGGTGCAGTGGCTGTTTAAGAGTTGAACATGCCTTCTTGCTGCCCTAAAGTAGGCACATCTACCTTGCCTTCCTGAAATCTCCTCTGGGTAGACCTGAGGGAGAAACTGGAAGACCAGCAAGTTGCCTTTGAACCTGCTAAGGACCAACAGAAGCTGCAGGCCATCAGGGTCAGAGCTGGCTTTGACTGTAGGATAACAGAATTGAAAGGTGGGCAGCACTATAATCAAAATCCATCTGTGTTATTTTCAGCCTTTTAGGAGGCCGGGGGTATAGCTCATCCACACAAGTGCCTGCCTGGCAAGCACAAGGTCCTGAGTTCGATTCCCGATAAAAAAATATATATATCAGCCTTTTAGGTCGAAATATAAAATAGATTTTACGTAGAAATTGAATGAAAATAGCCTTTGCTCTCTGCTGTAGGATTTTTCTTTCCCTATCAAGGGCATATGTTCTTTTTCTTGGTCTTTAGCTTTACCGCCAAGTGTCGGGAATACTGAGTGCTAAAAGGTGTTGTCAGTGAGGCCTGTGTGACAGGACTATAAGCTGTGAGCCCCCTCGGGGCGCATAAATTTCTCCTGTTACTTAACAGCAAGCCCAGTGGTGGCAGGAACGACCAGTTAACCCCACTATGAGCTTTGCATTCTAGTGTTGCTCAGGAACTTCTTCCAATTTTAAATTCTCAATCCTTCGTTCATTAACACTGGCAGCTGCTACCAAAAGAGTTTGATATTTCCTAGATGATCAAAGCCTTTGCATTTTATAGTCCCCCTCTTGTGTAAATAGATTAAATAGAAATATTTGTGAATTATCATTCAGGTGTGCAATAAGCTGACACCACCTGCCAATGGGTATTTTTATGAGAGGGGGAAAAAGTATAATGATTCAGTACATGAATTTTCCAGAAAACTGGAAACCATCTGAGGCTTTCTTTAATTTAAAAAAATTACATCAAAGAGAACAGTAAAACAGAGTGTTTTTCAAACTCTACACTTGATCTTAGCCAAAAGGCTGAGAAGTGATGTGTTTTCCAAACTCTAAACCTTCATATTTTATTCATCTGGAGCCAGAAAAGATCTAGAAAAGGTAAGGCAATCCTGGGCAACAAAGGCAAGGCAAGAGGCATTACAATCCCTGACTTGAAATTATACTACAAAGCTCCTGTGATAAAAGTAGCATGGTACTGGCAAAAACACAGACCCGAAGATCAATGGAACAGATTAAAAGATGCAGACACAACTACAAACACACTCACCTCACTTTTTCTTTAACAAAGGGGCCAAACATTTTCACTAGAAGAAAGACAGCCTCTTCAATAAATGGTGCTGGAAAAACTGGCTTTCCACATACCAGAGACTACAACTAGACCCATGTCTATCACCATTCATTAAACTAAAGGTAAAATGGATAAAAGATCTAAATATTAAAACAGAAACACTAAATCTACTCAAAGAGAAAACAGGTAGAAATCTTGAAGACACAGGTGTAGGCAGAGAATGCATGAACAAAACCCAGACTGCATGGGAAATATTTCAAAGAATCAACAACTGGGATCTCATCTTATTAAAAAACTTTTGCACAGCAAAAGAAATCACCAACAAAGTGAAAAGACAACCCACAGAGTTGGAAAAAATTTTAGCTAATTATCTCTCAAAGAACTTGTATCTAGAACATATAAAGAATTGAAAAAAATCAGATCCCCGGATTCAAAGACCCAATCCAAAAATGGGCATCTGAGATGAATACACATTTCTCAGATGAAGAAATACAAATGGCAAATAAACATGTGAAAAAATGTTCAACATCATTGGTCATTCCAGAGATACAAATTAAAACAACACTGAGATGCCATCTCACCCCAGAAAGAATGGCTATCATCAAGAAATCAACCAATAACAAATGCCAGAGGCGTAGGGAGGGCAAAGGAACGCTCCTCCATTGCTGGTGGGAGTGCAGACTGGTACAATCACTGTGGAAATCAGTGTGGAGACTCCTAAAAAAGCTAGGATTAGAGGTCCCATTTGTCTCAGCTATTTCCCTTCTGGGTATTTTCCCAGAAGAATTAAAAACATCTTACCACAGCAATATGTGTACATCCATGTTTATAACAGCATAGTTTGTCACAGCTAAATCTTGGAAACAACCCAAATGCCCATCAGTGGAGGAATGGATAAAAAAGTTGTGGTCTTTTTTTTAATGGAGTACTACTCAGCCATAAAGAAGGATAAACTTGAGACTTTTATAGGCAAATGGATGCAACTGGAGACCATACTCATAAGAGAAATAAATCAGAGGCACCTGTGTAGACACTGTATTGTCCCCCTAGCTCTTCAATTTCAGTGAGAAGCTGAAAGAGTAAATAAGGTCTAAAGTGTACAATAAATATTGTAAAATGGAAAGAAATTGTTCAAAAGGAAAAAGGAACTAGGATGGGTGAAAGAGGAAAGGACAGTAGGGAAAAGGGAAAAAGATTCAAGTCAGTTTTACTGTTAGTGTCTCTTAGTTCATTAAAGAGAAAGGTTTGTGCTAATATCAATTGAAGAAATTTTTATGCCCATGTCTCATACGCTGAGCAACTTCTTTCAAGATAACAATATGTAATGTATTAACCATTTTTATTCTCCTATTATTTTGTTATGAAATTTTGTTTTACCTTTTTTCCATAAAATAAAATAGAAATTAAATAAACCTTTATATGCTATAGTTGATGTTGAGTCACATGATTAAAATTGTCCATTTCTGTCTTACCTGAATTGGTAAATAATGCCAAAATAAGGGAGGTTTTTACAGCTTCATATAAAAGCTCTCTATACAGTAAGATCTTAGTTTTAAACTTACCATGCACACTGTGGGAATTTGCACGTGGGCACCAACAGAGGGCCATGTGATCATTTGAATCAAACATGCACATGAGAAATGAAATTGTACTTAGCATCCGATTTCCTTTCTGCGTGATTCCGAACTTCCCCAGGAAAGCTGGGACAGCCCTTGAGTTCACCACTGTTCACAGTGCCCATGGACAGGGGCAAAGCCACCACGGAGCAGGATTAATTAATGCAGTCCCTGTAGCCCCCAGGACTCAGACAGGCTCCAAGCAGATCAGCCAGCCCTCTGGCTCCTGGAATACCACTGCTGATCCTGGGTAACTCGAAAAGCCTTGTATCCACAGAACACCCAAGGGGAACAGACTTGTTTTAGTATGATCATCATTATTTTGCCACATTTGACCTTTAGAATTGGACGTCTGCCTTCATGCTGAAGGAAAAGCAAAGCCCTGAGCAAAGCCCTGAACTTTAAGGAAAACTTTGAAGGTGTAAGTTTGAGAAATGTCCCTCAATTTGAAAACTACCTTCTGTGCTTCATATGATACATATAAAAAGCTTGGCCAGATCGATTTACATCTTTTTAAGGAAGGCTTTTTAAAAAGTGATTATACTAACACTCTAGAAATAATTAATATAGTTTAGTGTCACTGTTTAACCTCAAAGTTGTCAGAGCTTCTGTTTGGTTTTATTTCTTGGTTTTGGCCCCTAGTTAGATAATTTAAATAAGCAATGCGAGACTGTATGTTTTCTTTTAAGGTAAAACTCAACCTTCTTGCATATCTTATGTCCCTTTTGTTAAAATATAATAATCCATATTCAGAAGCTAAGAAGCAGGTCAAGTTAAAACGTAGACTCAGAAGGGGAAAAGGCCTTATTTTAACACCAAGGTTTACATTATTTGTATCTTTATATAGTTAAAGATAACCCACAAAGTTATCTTTTTTTAAATCTGATTCCAAAATTGCCCAGACACTACATTTTACCTGAAGATGTGTTCTGTTGGAATTTTAAACTGGATCTGCAGCTAGCATATACAGACCAGACACCATGCAGGTTTCTCCATGCTATTAACACATGAAGGGTAGTGTTTGTGTCTCATTTCTTTTTCCATACAAGTCATAGCTTGGAGTGGCAGGACTGAAATAATACCATTTACATCCCCCCACCTTGACCAGAGGAAGTCTGTCCAGCTGTCCAAGCTATAGATGTCTGCAGTCTGATGGCAGGGGGAAAATAAGCACCTGATTGTGCTAACATTTCCTCCTTAAATACCCTAACACTCTTGCATACAGGGGAAATTTTATTAACTACAGCATGATTTCATAACTCTCTGTGCTGGAAGAAAAACTCCTCTCCAGCCTGTGGCTCCAGGCGCAGCACTCTCTTGCCCTGGAGCCCATTTAAATGGAAGACTGCAGTCACCGGGAAAACAGTCCCCAATTCTCCTTTCTCCTCTGTAACCAGTAGCACCGGGTGGGAAATGAAAGACAAACACCAAAGAAAACCTTTGCTGGGTGAGAAAGTAGAACTCGTCTTTTAGAAACCAAGACAGCCTCCGGCCTGTCCTGCCAGGAGCTGGGAATTCTCGTTGTGAGGACCCGAAATGGCCACCCCACCCCTCTCCCCCGTAGCAGGGAGGACCGGGTAGTGGTAGTGACACTCAGAGCCTCTCTTCCGGGAGTGGGCTGCCCGGTTCTAAGAAGTGTGTTTCATAAACACGAGGTAGGCCGGACCCCGGGTCCCACAGATGGGCACCGGCGGCGGCGGAAGAGACACTGGCTGGCAATCTGGTGAAGCCAGGTGGCAAAAGCAAGCCAAAGGGGTGGCGCCCGGGAAAAGCAGGACAGAGTGAGGTCGCGCGATTGTTCAACCTTTTCCCCACGGATGCGGAGAGGCGCATTTATAGTTCACGGCTCACCGCCACCAAGCGAGCTAACTGCTCAGGAGTGCTCGTCTCCTTGCCTCCAAAGCGAGGGCACCGGGTCCCCTCGCCCCGGGACTTCAGGGAGGGGTCTGCCTCCTCCAGCCCCCAGCCCAGCCCCGGGCCCAGGACCCCCACCGGGCAGCCCGCGTCGGTACCCACCTTGACCACGTAGGTGACTCCGGCCCCCAGCACCTGGTCGCTGGCGTGCTGCGCCCCCCGGGGCGGCCTGGGCAGCGGCTCGTCGCCCGGCCGGCCCTTCTTGGCCGCGCTCATACTGGCCGGGGCGCAG